TAGCACAGACAGAAATAACTGTACCTCTTGATCCCTTGGAAAGTGCTGCTGGCCATGTCAATAATGCCTCCTGTTGGTCGAGCTACTGCACCAACCAAACCTTTTCCAACACCTTTAAAAAAGCCCGCTGCCCCCTCTTTCTGGGCCCCTGCATAATAACACAAACACTGCAGCTTAAGTTCAAAGATCTTCACGGCCAAATGTCAAGTGTTCAATGGAAACACACTAACAGAACACGTAGTTTTTTTATGCCCTTATTTTATTGGACTAACATGTTTATACTTGTGGTCAGACTCGTCTTACCTTTAATAGGTTTGGTAACGATCCCTGTGATCCCACTGACAAATCCCTGTGGGAAAAGGAAGATAACACTGCAGAATAAATGACTCATTACAGCCGTGCATTTTCTTTCAGACTAGTTTGCAGTGTTGTTGTTGCTAGTCTTACTACTTCCTACATCCTGCATTAACTGCGTGTTTCCTGCTGATAAACAGAGAGGAGCAACTTAAAAACCAAAAAAACCAAACAGTTTTACATACAGACACCAGTCCTTTTCCACCCCTGGTCAGCCCCTCTCTCAGACCGCTGGGCTGTTTGTTCATAGCTTCTCGTCTCTTCTGCTGGTACTCTTCATCCATTGTCATCGCTGCGACACCCTTTGCCATGGCACCTGTTATCCTGGAGGCTGCACCTGCAATACCGCCTGAACAACAAACATGATTCGTTACCTGAGAATATTTTTTAATATATCTTAAATGTTCATGTCAAAATTGTGTCAGTGAAAATCTGAAATTTTAAGGGCTCCAACATGGTGCTAAAAAGTCTCAGATGTGTAATGAAACAGCCACAGTTCACTGTTAAAGGCAATATAATGCTGAAATTTAACAGATATAACACTATATTAAAAACACATGCAGTAAAACGACAAATGCTCAGTTATTACACTTTTCAAATTACAGCCCTATATAGCAGCCATGAACCCATCCCAGTCAATCAACGTGTATAATGACAGCAGATAAAGTGAGGACAGCGTGCAGGGCTGTACAAACTCTTTAATGACCTTCATTTCTTTTTAGTTATTTTTTTCATGTGGTGATGAGCGATAATTCTCCGAGCTTTATTAAGTTTTTTGTTGGACATTTACTGCTTTTTAACTCATTTTCAATCTAGTTTCAGATTATTTTCACAGGATTATTTTTAACATCTGATAAGCTTCTTAACACTGATGTCAAGCATATAATGACACCAGGCTAAAGGGATTAAACAGTGTTGTTTCTACACATAATGGACACTTTCAATTAAATTTTATTTTTAACCAGTTTGTTACCAGCAGCCTCTCACAAAAAGCAAATGATTTGCTCAATCTATGAAACATGGCGATGATAACACAGTTTGACAGACACAAAATAGCTGAAAACAAGTGAAGGAAACTGGACAGTTGGGAGGGACAAAGAAAGAAGTGGCAGGTCTAAAAGGCATGCCTCCACTTAGGCTGGACCTCAACGTAAGTGAAGCAGTGTGGGATCATCTTTACAGAAAACAGAACAAAAGACAACCAGCATCTAAGGAAGAGCTTTGAATGTCCTTCAAGAAGCCTGGAGAACTATTCCTGAAGACAAGGAAGCTGAGTAAGAGAGTTCAGGATGTGATAAAGAATTGTAAAAACTGTTTTTGCTGTACATACTGTATTTCAAAATACAAAGAAATGAGTGCAAGACTTTTGCACAACACTGTACTTAAATTTAGAATAAAAGATAAATTAAACATAATTAATTTTTGAATTAGAAATTCCAGTGATTATTTAGCAGTTTTGACCTGATCCTGTTGAGCTAAGGCTGACTCTGTACTACCCCTTTAACACCATTTCATGCTTACCTACAGCTCCTCCCACCAGCGCCTTAACCCCAAGAGCCATTCCTTCAACAAACTCCTCAGGGCCCTGGATGGCTCCCTAGAAGAAAAAAAAAGAACAGTTATTGTGAATGTTAACCTGAATCCAATGTGGCCATATTTTCTAAATTACACAACGTAACTATTCAACAGGTTTTATAATGCACTTCAAAGCTAAAAGACCCAGTTGAACTTGTCAATAATTTTATTGGATATCATTACCTGATAGGGCTCATAAAAGAAAGCCTCCACCCCTTCTGACAATCCTCTGATCAGTCCAAATGGGTTTCCAAGAACATCGAGGCCCAGCACCAGCACATACATCTGCTTAATAGCCTTGAGATACACATAGGTGGAAAATCAAAATATCAAAACAAAAGAAGACAAGACAAATTGCCACTTGTCTGGTTTCATTGTGCTTGTATGTATTACCTGCTTAGAATAATGTCTGAGGACCTCCCACTGGAGCTGCTGAGTGGTGTAGAACTGGTAGGTCAATTCAAAAAAGGCCAGCCTGAAATAAATGTCACATTCAGCCAAGAAGCAGGGTTGGAATCACCAAGAACAAGTCACATGGAAGTAATTTAATGCTAATGGATGGCACATGCATGCTGTGTATTTAAGCCTTTTTCTGTATTCATACTTGAAGACAACATCCTGCACATCAGTGAGCGTCGCGCCGATACTCTTTAGCAACAGATTTAGCGACTGCACAGGGATCAGTTCCGAATCTCTCTTCTGCTTCAAGCCATCCTCTCCGCCTGTGCTCAGAGAGAAACTCAGGTGCAGCTGACAAAAAGCACAAAAACATCAGCAGGCGTTACTATGGCAACGGAGAAATCGCAGAGATCAGTTCAGACACTATTTGTTTGACAGAAACTGCATTCGCACACACCTTAATGGGGGAAATGTGGAAGTACTCGTAGAGGCTGATGGGAGATTTGTCAGCAGCAGAGACATGGTTCAGTTCTGTCTTTATGTTCGTTATGTCCTTTTCAAACAGTTCCACCTGGAGCATCAGGAGAAAGGCACAACAGCTGTTGAGTTAACTGAATTACTGACTAACTGAATAATCATAACGCATTCTGAACAGAAAGGTAACGTTGTGTGTGTCAATGCGTGTAGCCGACCTCCTGTTCTGCGCTCGTTATGCTGTCATTCTCTGGGGAGAACAGCTCCAGGATGGCGTACAGGAAGCCCAGATCAAGTTTTAGATCCATCTCCTGAATTAAAACCGCAAAGTACCTGAGGCGAACAGAAATCAGGACTTAGACGAGTACAAATGAGAGCAAATTTCAGGAGTTAAACTTTCGGTTAACAGAGAATTGTAAGATTTCAGCTCACCCAAATATATTATTGGTCTTAAAAAGGACAAATAATATATTTATTTGTCTGGTAGATCATAATCTACCAGGTAGATCATGATCCTGCCCTCCATATACAATAACAATGAATATCAGCTAGAAAAACATAATTTGAGGAGACAGTGAGAAAAGAAAAGAAAAACAATTACTTGATGCGTGAGATATCAGAGTGCCCCGCTGCTCGGGTAACAATGCTGATATCAGTTAGAGGTTTGGGTTCTGTGGAAAAAAATGTACAGAGTATGATAATAAAGACGAAAGAGCTAAAATAGTCTATTATTGTAAATAAACAGATAACAAAAAACCTGCATTAACAGACCTGTCTCCATGGCGACAGACTTTGGCAGTTTCACGGGGTAAAAAACGTAAGGGAAGATGGCCCCAGGTAGCTGATTCTGGATCTGTAGAAGGAAAGGACACAGGTCTGTTTAGTGCACAGACCAAACAGAGCTACACAGCTACGAAAAGGCAATTAAGAAAAGCCTTTAGCTAACTTGCTTGATCTTCTTTTTCAATAATTTTTGTAAATTGAATAAAAATTTTTCACCTGTATCCGGTGAACTTGGATACGATAGGCGCTCTGTCGTGGTGAAATGCTGTACTCCACCTTCACACCCGGCAAGAAGTGCCTCCTAAGAGGAGCATCACATGGCTTCATTATCTGCATGTCCTGGCCAGTGGGATTAAAGAACACCTGGGAGACAATGACAAAAAAAATTCAACAGTAATGATAATTATCCCATTATCATGTGCAATTTTAAATTCAGTTTTATGAACGAGTTTACATGCTATGTGGATAATCTAAAACCAACTATTTTCATTTGCTTTTATCCACCATTTTCATATGACAGAATAAAAATAATTGCAATATTTAACCTGAAAGCCGTTTTCCAAATCGAAAATTGCCTTGTCTACGGCCCCAGATTCCTGGTAGTCTTTGAACTTGTCCTCCATAATTTCAGCTTCTTTAATGGTCAGAGGCTTCCATCGACTCTTCTTCTTAGGTTTGAATTCCCACACAACATCAGAGCTTAAATAAAAGAGGAAAGAAATGAAAGTCTCAGATTAGTTAAGCAAGAAAACATAATTTATAGATAAAATTTATACACTCATTGGTCACTTTGTTAGGTACACCTGTTGAACTGCTCGTTAAACCAGCTATCTAATGTGTACATCAAAAGGCGCTTTTAAAAAAAATAAATAAATAAATTTTAGGAGTGTAGAGATGGTCATAATGACCTGCTGCATTTCACACATAGCATCAAAATAAAAAACACAGGATTTAAGTGATTATTGTTGTCAGATGGTGCCACACTGCTGATCTACTTGGACTTTCCCACGAAACCATCTCTAGGTTTTTCAGAGAATGGTCTTGAAAAAACAAACAAAACAAAAAACAACTGAAAATATAAAATGTCTTGTTAATCCCAGAGGCAGGAGCAGAATGACCGACTCCTTCCACCTCATAAAAAGGCAGGAAGAACTCCAATAAGCACTTGATTTAACCAAGATCTGCAGATGAACATTTCTGAGTGCAGAACACGTCAAGGCTTGAAACAGATGGGCTACATGGCACCTGCAAATTAGAGTTTACTTTAATTTACTATTTATTAAGCAAACACAAAAGCGCAGCACCTTGTGATCCCAATGAAGGCAACCTCTTGGTTGGTGCTGTTGTTCACCAGCGATAGGCCCACATGCCGTAGTGTCAGGATGATTTCCTGTTGAGCAACCTGCACCTTCTCATTGTCACAGAGCATCTTGAAGACCCGTCGCTCCTCAGTGAACAGCACAACACGCTGGAGACCTTAGAACAGATAAATAGAATAAATAACACACATTTCTTTTGTAACCCAAAGGAAAGTTGTTGTTCATTACCATTACAAAATGAATCAGGGATAAATAAAACCTTAGAAATGAGTCAGACTTGCAGTTCATAACGCCAACATCCTGCCAGAAAACTGTGTTTTTTAATATATATAATTTTTTAACAGTTCTAGAGATTATATTACTATAATATGGCAACAATTAAGCACTGGCAATAAACTGTGGAAACTATAAACATCATTTCAGTTTATTCAACTGCACAAAACAGCTGAGCATTTTAAGATCATTCAACTTTACCTTCATAAAAGGAAATCACAAAAAGTTTGCCCTCCTTGTTTACGTCCTCTCGCAGGTCCTAAAAGACAAAGCGTATAAACTTCAGTATCTTTAATCTTTATTTAGATACTCTTCCATCGAAAGGAGCCAGCTGAGGTGGTTCGGGCATCTGACATGGATGCCTCCTGGGCGAGGTGTTCCGGGCATGTCCCACTGGGAGGAGGCCCCGGGGCAGACCCAGGACACGCTGGAGAGATTATATCTCTCGGCTGGCCTGGGAACGCCTTGGTGTTCCCCCGGATAAGCTGGAGGAGGTGGCTGGGGAGAGGGAGGTCCGGGCTTCTCTGCTTAGTCTGCTGCCCCCGGGACCCGGCAACGGATAAAGCGGAAGAAGATGGATGGATGATCCAGATTTACATGATCTGTATCTATACAGTTTTAAACTAAAGGTAATCAAATTTATGAACGATTCATCACCACCAATAACATATTTACAGTTATTAACAATGAATTTGCAAAGGTGATACTACTTTAAAGACCTCACACTTAAAATATATATTATCTATATATATTCACGGGTTACTGTAAGGTGTGAAGTACATGGATAGGTGCAAAAAGTCTCAGCAGTCACGGGGTATCTAAAAACCAGCAGGTTCACATTCAGTAAGCTCATTATAATTACCTGCTTTCGCAAACAGTACAGCCTTTTTTCCCCCTCAGGATTTCATTTATGAATGAACCTATGATAGACTTTTAATATGCAAATCTTAAAGTAAAGCCAGCCTAAGCAAATTTATACCTAAGACAGCAAATACTGCTTTTTTTTTAAAAATACGTTCAGCAGAAACTGATTTTATTTGGGAAATGTAAGATATTTGTTTTTGGGGAAAAAAGGATTACTGATAAACATTATTATTCAGACAGTTATTATTCTGACACGTGCAGTACCTCTTCACTCTTTAGTGTCCCAGAGTAAGTGCTGCATTTCCAGGAGAGCGCTCGTGACCCAGTGGGCTCAGTCCAGGTGTAGTACACAGCTTTCCCAGCCTCCAGCTCCTCATGCTCCGCCTTTTTCTGAGAGCTGCATGTACACAAACCCACCAAGACAGACACATGCCGTATGTATCAGCAACATGAGTTAAAGCTACCAAAAATGAAACAAAGCAAAACAATTATTGACTTTGAAAATACAACAGAGCCCCTCCACCACAATCAAGGACCATGCCAGCAATCATTTTCTCTGAGTTGTCTCTCAGCCTGCAGCAGCAATTTTCATCAAAAGACAGAAATATGTCACCCAGAGGTCCCCAAATTCCTGGAAATAAAAGGCTCAAATATGCACGTTCACATATTAGTGAGGATTCTGAAACAAATCTTCAATGGATCATAAAATGAAGACTGAAGGAAGAAAGCACTAGTCGACAGCACTACAGGAAGAAGCAGGTGGTGTGATTCCTTTGGAGGAATCCCATCCAGTCAGCAGCATTCACATTTTTCTATAAGATCATAACACAGATGAAAGCAACACTGAGTAAATGGCTTAAGATTTGTATTCTGCTCCTTTAGATCTGTGTAAATTTCCGGTAGATCAGTAAAAAAAATAAATGGGTAATGGTGTAGGTCTTTTATAAATAGAAAACTGAAACTGTGACAGTCAGTGGCATTATGTTATGTACAGTGGAACCCCGACTTACGAATACCCCGTTCCACGAAAAATTCAAGTTACGAAGGCACTGAACGGCAATATTTCTGCCCGTGTTACGAAATCCGCTGGCTCTGATTGGCTGAGCCTACAATGCCCACAATGCCTTCCGAATCATGTGACAACCCCTTGGCTTCCGTACTTGCGCTTCGCTGTTCCACTTGAATGACGTATTGTTGTTCTAGTTAGCAATTAGCCTATCGTTCAGCATCGCCTCACTCAAAAGGCGCAATGGGTGCTTCGACTTACGAAAATTTTTGACTTACGACTTACCCTTGGGAACGAATTAATTTCGTAAGTCGGGGTTCCACTGTACTTAAAAAACAGAGTTTGAATATGGCAGAAGTAGGCCATGATATACACTAAAAGGAAATATTGAAAGTACAGTGATTCCTAAATACAACTAATATAACTTTAGTTAAGGGAGCAGAGTACAGAGGCAAACTAGAATCAGAGCTCAAAGGATCTTTTTTATACTTCGGTTTATCTACACTCGTCCATCTGACCACACTCTGCACTCAAATGAACCATTAAAGTAACATCGAGAACAAACCATGATTAGCTGCTGCATCGTTTGCATATTTAGTTAACTCTGGTTAATGATTGGAGACATCTTCGTGATATACTTGATCCTTCCTCTTGGCTTCGCCCACATTCCCTCTTTCATTTTTTTATATACCCACTGTTTTACTTACTTATGTGAATTGTATAAGAGACGCTATAAAGAAATTTGAAGTCCCACACCTACAAAACTGTGGTTTCTATAGGTCTCGAAATCTGCTGCCAGAGATCAGACACCTAAATATTTTTGGAACATCAGGTTTTCATCATTCTATGTTAACCTGAGCTACGCTCCTACAAGTCAACATGCAAAGAGCCACGGTACCAGATAATGAGTCCGAAATTTTTCAAAGACCTAGCTCAATTATTTTTCTAGACGATGGCATTTTAAACCGAGCCTTCAAAAAATGATGTTAGAAAAATGTCTAAAAACACCCCTACCTTCTTCTATTTTTTTGACTAATGATAGACTTGAGGTTTTGCTAAACTCTTTCCACTGGATTTTTTTAGGCAAAGCTTAGATGATCCTGTGGGAGCTAATATGAAACCACCCATGCGTTACTCATAGTGCAGTTTAAATAACCAAATGTACTGATGTGTGTTTAAATTGTTTTTCTTTTACCTTTGTCAAAGTTTACTAGACTGATTACTTCCTATAGGAAATAACTTTTCTCTGGTGATGACAATGTAGCTACACTGATGGTTCTCTTTTGTAATTCCTGTTCCTCATTTCTATCTTTATTTTGAGTTCAGAGTTTGTCAGAGGAGTTTCCCTTTTTCATATTTTCTACCTGTCCTCCTCCACTGAGAAGGAGAGGTCAAGTATCTCGTCAGCCACCCACGAGGATTCTGTCCGGACACTGCATGACCCACAACACACAAACAAACTGCTATCAGCAAAAATAATCACAGGCAATTATTATTAACTTAACTGTTTGAGGCAACTGGAACAGAAGAACAATATTGTTACTCAACAAATATGCAAAGACACATGTCAATAAAACATGGAAATGGAAATGTTTTGCGTGACGAAACCTGTAAAATTAATGGCTGCTGTTCATAAAACGGATAAAAACAAGAGACAGAAATAACTAGAACACTAAGAAAAGGTTTTATAAGTACATTTGCCACAAAAATATCCTACTTCTGGATAGAGCACCTAATATTAGGGTGAATGTGGCACACACAAAAAAAATCTAACTGAAAAGAAACATTTTGCATTTTGAAAGTATTTCAAAAACACAGTTACAGACAACACCAAAGATCTACACTAATGCTAACAAACAGTATGTCAGAATATTTTTTTTAAAAAACACTTTAACTAAACACTGAAAGTCCCTAGGAAACAGAATTTCATAAAAACAGTTTAAACCTCAGTGACAGGGGCCTAGAGGCCAGTTTGCAACCCTCTGGCAACCCCTAGTTGCTAAGGACAACCGGTTGACAAATGGTTGATGGAGGTTATTGGCTGTAGCTGAGTGAAATCAGTTGCAAAGATAGTGCTCAACAAATACCCACGTTGTGATTGCTTTGTTCACTAGTAAGCTGTTATGGTTGCAAATGGTCTGAATGGAAAACACCAACTTTTCTGCAAACAATTGCTGTTAGTGAAACCTAAAAAAAACAAACCTAAAACATTTTCTATATTTCCTTTTAACTGTGCCCCTTGGTTCTCTCACCTCTGATGGAACTGAAGAGTCTGACTTTTAGTGTGGTTGATGATGAGGAAAGGGGCTGCGCCATCATGGTAGTCAGAAAATTGAATAGTGGCCGAGTGTTCCGACAGATTCATGTCTACTATAATCCCACCCGCCTACACAAAAGAAACAAGCAACAGTCTGAAAGCCGTAATACAAAAGGCATGTGTGTGAAAATCATGTTAATCACCTCAATTACACATTATGTAAAAAAACAAACAAACAAACAAAAACAAACTTATATGCACACACAAATATTATTAACTATGTGCATTTCTGCTTACTTTGTTGTCCAGATGTAGCAATAAGCAGTTCTCTGGTCGTTTGAAGTCGATAGTCACTGGAGGCGATAAGGAAGCTTCTACTTTAATTTTAAGCTTCTTAGTGTCACTCTCAGGCCAGAAAGGGATGGCTGACTAAATGTGAGGGAAAAAAAACAATATGCTAAATGCTTCTTGTCAGATTATCAGTAGGTAAATACATTTTAAAACTTTATCAAGACATGATCTTTAAATAAAGCATTTTTATGCACAAGAAACCTTTAGTCACATTAAATTTATAGAAATCAATCAGCACACATGTTCAGTTGTTACATCACACCTATTTATAAAGTTAAATGTAAGAATACCCAGGATCTTGTGTCTATGATATACTCAAACCAAAACCAAGACCTTAACCTGCATTGTTCAAAAAGAGAAAAATCTGAACAGGCTCTGACCTCTTCTGGTTTTGCCTCAGTCCAAGTTTCTTGCCCGTCTTCGCATATGAACACACTGTGCTTAGTTCTGTTGACCAGCATGTAGAAGGGCACAAAGGTCACAATGCGGGTCAGACTGAAACTGCTTGCATCGATCTTCACACCGACCTGAAATAAGACAGAGAATAAGACAGACATATTACATGAATACAAAAAAAGTACATATCCAATACACCTGCCTCTTTGGATCCTCTGCCTCCATCTCACCCTATCCCTCATCTACTTTCCCTCTCAACATTTTCACCATTCCACCTGTCTTCCTCTCATCCACACAAATGTATTTTGTCTTTCTCCCACTGACTATCATTCCTCTTCTCTCCATAGCATGCTTCCACCTCTTCCCTACTCTCATTGTAGATCAAAATGCCATCTGCAAACATCACAGTCCACGCCAACTCCTGCCTGACCTCATCTGTCAACCTGTCCATCTCCAGTGCAAACAAGAAGCGGCTCAGAGCCAATCCCTGACTATCCCACTTTTTCTTCGCCAACCTACATATTTTTTTCACATTTTTATATAAAGAGATAAAATTTCAAATCTTACCAGATAATCTTTGAATCTGCCTTTGCATTTCACATCCCCGTGGCTCCCAACTGTGTCCAGAGAGAATTCATCAGATAGTTCACTTTCTGAGATCATAAGACGAACCTGGGGGAGGAAATAATTTAATCTAATAAATGTACTGAACCACTGGGACCACTGTGAACAATAATCAAACATGTTTCTTTTAAAGAGCTTTCAGTAAGACTGACTTAAAATAAATACCTTATTGTTTCGCAAGAAGTACCGAGGCTTGAATGAAAAGAGCAACGGCATCTTGTAGTCCATGGGATGTTTGCGGTGAATGTCATCAGCCTTGTACTGCAACAACCTGTCCGTCTTATTTATCATCCAGTACGGTGAATGGATAGCAACCACCATCTGCCCCAGATCATATTTAACATGAACTGCTATATCCAGCTCAGCCCTCTTCCTCTCCACTGCATCTCCATCTTCGTCTGCATCCTCTCTTAGAGACTTGAACACAATGAAGGTGATCTCTTCCTGATCACTGTTGAGTCTGTACAAGACAATAATTGTTTGTTTGTATCAGAAATGTGAAACAATTTAATGGAGACTGCATGTCTCTCCTATAAATATAACTATGCATCAGCATTTTTTTGTCATGTTATTTAAGATCAACATACAATAAATAGAAAAAATGTGTCAATAACAAAAAAAGAGATTAAGTCACACCTATATACAGAAGACCAATCCTGAGCCAAGTACTCAATCAAACGAAGATCAAGACTTGACTGGTTGATGACTCCAGTGTGAAGCTGAGCAGAGTGACCAGGGTCCAAAGTAGCCTCAGGTGCAGAGATTCCACTGTTCTGTTGAGCAACAGGATGAAGAAAACAAAAGGTGTCTCTGCATTTGAAACTTCTACCTTGCTGCTTTCAGTTCATGCCAACTTGTAAAGAAAATACAATGGTTGGGAAAAAAAAAGAAGTCCCCAGTTACTTAAATTAAGATAACAGAGTTCCATATTACACATTTTTGCTATATTTTTTTCAAGTATAAAATGAGACATTTTAAATATCTAAATGTGAGTGAATTTTCTTATCTTTCAGTTAAAATTTCTAAACAGAAATGCCAGCATTGGACAAAACTAGGTTTATTAACTATTGCTTGTTTTTTGGG